GTAAAGCGGTACGAGTTGGTGCTGCGTTTGCCAGATGGGGCTCGAACGCCCCAGGACCTGGAGCGTACCCTCATCGATACTCCGTCGGGACGTATCCCTGTGTCTTCCATCGCGACGGTCGAGCAGAACGACGGCCCAAACCAGATTGGCAGGGAGAACGGGAGGCGCCGCATTGTTGTCTACGCGAACACGGATGGCAACGATATGAGCTCCATCGTGAGCAATATCCGGAGCGTGATTGGCGGGGTGACGCTGCCGGCTGGCGCGTTCATCAGCCTTGAGGGACAGTTCCAAGCTCAGGAGCAGGCCGCGCAACTGATTGCCAGTCTATCCGTGCTGTCCCTGTTGCTGGTGTTCCTGGTCCTGTACTCCCGGTACAAGTCTGTCACGCTGGCGGCCATCATCATGGCGAACATCCCCCTCGCCTTGATAGGCAGTGTGGTCGCCATGTGGATTGGAGACATCAGCCTCTCTGTTGCCTCAATGGTGGGCTTCATCACGCTGGCCGGCATCGCGACGCGCAACGGCATCCTCAAGGTCAGCCATTACATCAACCTCTGCAAGTTCGAGGGGGAGACGTTTGACCAGGCCATGGTTGTACGCGGCTCACTGGAACGATTGACTCCAGTCCTGATGACTGCGCTCGTTGCCGCGTTTGCTCTGACTCCTTTGCTGCTGTCTGCCGACGCACCCGGCAAGGAAATTCTGCACCCAGTGGCTGTCGTCATCTTCGGCGGTTTGGTGAGTTCAACGCTACTCGACACATTGATGACACCGCTGATGTACCTGCGGTTCGGTCGCAAGGCGACAGAGCGTCTCATCACCGACCAACCGGAAGAATCTCACGACGTTCAACACGCGTACTGACGCGTGCACTCAGATAGGCGACACCGCAGCCTCAACTTGCGGTCAACTTGAAACTTGGAGATGGAAATGATGAATCGTAAAACTGCCCTGGCCGTCATGCTCGGCTTGTCTGCGTTGGCCTTCAATGCTTCCGCCCATGGCCCTAGCAAGGCCCAATATGGAGGCGTGGTTCAGACCGCTAGCGACCTGTCGTTTGAGCTTGCGAACGAAGGCGATAAGGCTGCGCTGTACATCGTGGACCACGATGCGCCTGCAGACGCCAGCAAAATGAGTGGCAAGCTGGCCATTCTGAATGGCACCGAGAAGAGCGAGGTCGAACTCAAACCGGTCGGGGGCAACAAGCTCGAGGCTACGACGAAGTTGGTGTCTGGTGCTCGCGTCGTTGCGACGGTGACCACGGCTGAAGGCAAGGTCATCACGGTCCGATTCAAAGCCAAGTAAGCTGGGCGCATCGGGGCAGAAGTCCACAGCCCGAAATCAGTTTTTTTTGCACTTCTGTGCCAGATGCGTTTCTAGGGGAGTCTTGCAAGGAGCGGACAAGACCATTGAGCGAGCCAACTATCCAGGCATACCGCCAGAATTTCCCATCAGCGAGATGACTTCCGCAGTTGCCGGTGCTCGCCCCAAGCTAGGCCTGATCGAGGAAGGCGGGAAGTTCTATACACCCGGCACCTCACCCTCTGAGGTGTTGAATGCTTTCGAGGTTTGTAAAGATCTCATCGCGCAGATGGTTCCATACTGCAAACGCAAGCTCGCTCAGGCCGTAGCAGAGCCTGAGGGTGTTTGAGGCGTTTGTTTCCATGGGGCGCCTCAGGCCAGTTCCAGCTCAGTCTGCAGATTTTGCGACGTCGCGGGCCTGCCGTGAAGAGCTTGGCTCATCACGTGCAGTAAAGGTCCATCATTTGCGACATTGGCGAAGAACTGTGGTGGGTGAAAGCCTCCCGACACGTCGCGCAGCTTGCTCAGCGGGATGGGGGGACGTGAGCTCAGTAGGCTCACTCAGGCCCAATGCAAAGGCTTTCGAAATACCTGAAAAGTATTCGAAAAATTCTTGGCGCTTGAGGCCCGATACGGTGCCAAATCGCCTCCACAGTGTGCTGGGGGCGAGCGTGTGCAGGCCTGTGACAGTGGCGCAGCCGACGATGCTGCCGACCGGCAT